TGTTTGAATTCTAACACCTCTAACAAAAAAAAACCAACGAATTTTTCACACCGATTCTCTTTGATTAATCTAAAATGACACATGTTGCTGTCTGTGTAGCTAATAGAACAGAAGGTCATTTTGTGCCCCCCCCCCCCCCCCCCCTCTCCCTCTAATTAACCATTTCATTTTCAAGCACTTCCCCCTTCTTTTCTTGTTCTTCTTTTACCACCACATCAACCAGAAAATTGACATATGTCTCTCTTCAAAAGGGTTCAGTTCTTCTTCGTGTTTCGATGTCAAGATGAGCAATAATTGCATTTTGGAGGGATTCAGGGAGATTGAGTTATGGTAGACTGATCGAAAATTCCGATCAGATTTTCAGAATTTTCAGGAAATCAAAATTCAACCCTTCACGAAATTTGGAAAATTAGGAAATTCCGAACTCCGGAATTCAAAAAGTTTGAGATGTCACAAATTTTCAAGCTGTTCTGAAACAACTGAAAACTTAGAAATTTGCAAAAAAACTGAAATTCGGGAATTCGTCAATTTTCAAATTTTCAAGTTTCTGAAGTTTTAAAATTCTGGAGAAATCCTCCTATTCTGACATTTCACATTTTTTTCAGATTCTTCTTTACGATTCTTCATTTTTCAGGTCTTTTTCGGATTTTTTGATGATTCTTGCTTTTTTCAGATTCTGGTATAAAAATTTCAAATCTTAAATTTTAGATTTCAAATTCAGGTCCCAGGATGACGTCACCTTCTGAATCTGGGAGGGTTTTTCATCTATCATTGCAGAATTGTATTTTCGATTTCCGTATAGAAATCGTGAGCCGTGCTCACAATTTTCATAGAAAACTATACAAAATTAGATAGATTAGGAAGAATAAAAAAAAAGGGATAATCCCAAAAAAGAAAAAAAAATCATCTCATCAAAAAAGTGCTTTTCATCATAATCCATAAAAAAATTAAGAGCTCATATTTTGTGTAGTTTTCAATATTTTTTCACAATTTTTCAGAACCCGATTTTAGATTTTCTTGAAAATAATAAAAATGGAAGTCATTTTTTCAGGTCAATTTTCCGAATTCCTGAATAGTTTTCTGATTTTCGGAACCTATTCTGCAAATCTTTGGCAAATTTTTACCAATAAAAAATTCCAGATTTTGGAAATCGCCTTTTGCTTCTTTTTTTAATATAAATTTTTGGAAATCATGAAAATCTGCCAATTTCACTAAAATTTTGCAAGATTTTCATCGAAAAATAGAATTTCAACAAATTTCTAATAAAAATTGTGGAGTTCCCGGAATATTTTCCACTGGAAAAGTACAGAAATTTTCTGATTTCAAAACACATTTTGAAGAGGATCCTTTTATTAGAGGGGTGGTTCTATTGAAGGGGCCCTTTTAATACAGCTTTCACGGTAAATCTTCTATATGTATATTTTTTTGAATATCCTAAAATTATTATTTTTGTACATAAAAGGGTACTAAAAGCCACTCAGAAATTGATTACCTCCTTCTCGTCACTCATTTTTTCATTTCTCTTTTTTTCAGCTTATATCGAAAAAAAATAGAGAAAAAGAGAGCTCATCCATCTCAACATTCATCTCATATTCTTCTCCCTTTTCCCCTTTTTTCTTTTTTTTTCTTTTTTTTTTGCAAAATGAATTTTTTCGAAGTGTTTGATTTCCAGAAAATATTTAGAGCTTTTTTATTCAAAATTCAAAATTTGACATTTTGGAGCAAGAATAAAAATTCTCATGACCCATTCTCATCATGCTTCACAGAGCCCCATGTTTTTGAGCATGGGCATAAAAAGTCACAAGATTTCATTTCACTTTTTTGTTTCATTTCGGGTGTTTTGGCGCTTTGGACCTTCTTTTCTTTCATTTTGGACATCTTTTGGGATTTACAGAAGTTTCTAGAAATCCTTCTTACGAAATTTCGCCTAACTTTTCAACTAGATGGCCTAGAATTCTATATCTAGTGCCCATAATGATCTAGGAATGCAAAGCATGAACATCGGCTAACTTTTCAAAGTCAATGACCTAGAAACCCAAAGTTGATAGCCTAACTTCCCATCTAGTAGGCCTTGAAACCCAAATGGCCTAATTTTCATTCATAATTCAGTACTCTAGCTATCCGAATAACACTGATTGCCTAACTTTCAAATATCGTCTGGCCTAGGATCCCAGATCTCATGGCTTCCAGATTTTGGGTTTCTAGGCCAACAAATAGTTTTCTAGACCAGCATTTTTTTTCGCACTCATGGCCCGCCCTGAAAAAAACGAGTGTAACCGTACGCCAATTTCTAGGCCATGAAGGTTTGGCCACCAAATCATTTTCTTGTATTTCTAGGCCACACGGTTCCGATCGTCTAAAATTTGATTCGGTGTCACTATTGAACAGGCTGGCCTAGAATTCCAAACCCAGTTTACCTAGGAAACCCTGTGGATAAATTTTCTGAATTTGAATTCCTCTTCCACACAGACGTCATCGTCGATCTGGGGTGTGCCACTCCGCTTTAAAACAAATCTGAGAATTCTGGAAAAAATCAAAATTTTAGAAGTATTTCGTGAATTTCGAGATTCGATGAAATTCCTAGAGGACCAGAAATTATACAAAAGTTACAATTTTTTCGAACTAAAACTTATTGAAATCCACAAATTCCAAAGTTTCGAAATTCTGTGATTTTGTTAGTCTTCTACTCCATTGGGTCCACAGAATTTCTCAGAAATGTCTCTCTAATTACTTTTCCTTCAATTTCCAAAATCTCATGGGTTTCTTCTTGAAAACCCAAAAGAGAACAACATTCTCAGTTTCCAACTTCTCCTTTTTCTTTCTTCTACTTTTTCCCCACTTCTAAGCATTTCCCCCCAATACGGGTCCCCTTCTCTTCCACTAAATTGGTACTCTTTTCTCTTTTCATCCCTGCGTTTCCTGTTACTTTTTTCCTCCCAACCAACCAACCTCCCGCTACTTAAAGGGAGCGAGTACTGGCTCAGAAAAGAGCCCTCTGTGAGCACAAGCCGGGGAGAGATGGCCACCAAAACAAAAACATTTTCTGTCCTTCTTTTTGTTCTTCAGCATTTTCCAGCACCCAAAAAATTTTTCGAACACAATTTTTTTTGAAAATTTTTCAAAATTAGTATCATTTCGTGTGAAGTTTTGTGCTGATAGTTTTTACAATTGACAAAGTTTTTCTAATTTTTCTGGTTTTTGAGATATAAGCGTTATTCCTAGTGGCGCCAGGCAGCGCGCACAGACAGACAGGCACTCTAACTGTCTGCGTCTCTTTTGGCAAGAGATTTCTTAGAAACTAATAAGAAATTACTACCAAAATGTAGGAATTGTTCTCTAGTTCATTTTTTGCAGTTTACAAAATTCTTGTTGCTTCTTTTGTTTCGAAGATATCAGCGTTTCTGTAAGAAGTGCTGAAATTTTGAGAACATTTTGATTTTTGAAAATTCGAAGTTTCATAACTTTAAAACGAAGGAAAATAGAAAACTGATTTTTATACCGTTTTATTAAGGTGTTCCATAAAAAATGTCGTTTTTTGATACCACTCTTTAAACGGAGATAACTTCAGTGAAACTCATGTTCATCAAACAAACTATGTATCATTCGAATCAGTGCTTTTTTGCCTATAATATACTAATTTGAAAATTCTATCATGATAGAAACCAGAAGCCCAGGAAGTGACGAAACATTGGAAAGCCTTTTTGCATAGTCGTTTTACTGATTCTCTGTGGAGAGGCTTTCAAGATGCTTGAAAAAATGGAGGGGCGGAATTCCACCACAGGGCGAGATATCA